CCACTTCTCCCCACAGGGCATCTACAGCTGCTTCAATGGGGTGCAGACCATGGGGAGCCCTGGGCGGGCGCCCACACCCGATGTCACGGCCAGCTCGGCCCAGGCCAACGTGCTGAAGATGCTGCAGGCGGCCAAGGAGATGGTGAACACGACCAGCGTGGGTGGCTCCCTGGAGCAGGCCACCCGCACCATCGAGGACTGGAGCAACCACAGCGAGCGCCTCCAGACCACCTTCTCCCTGAGGACACCCCAGCTCGTGGTGCAGAACAGCACCGGCGCACACCGGGCCCCCTCCTCTGGCCCGCACCCCACCGAGAGGATGGGGAGAGCCTACACTACCAAGGGTGCTCCCCCGGGGCTGCCGCTGCCCCAGCCCATCCCCGTGGACTCCCGGCTGCACGGGGAGGAGAACTGGAGAGGGGCAAACGAGCACCCCCGCCTGCTACACCCCGTGAAGTTTTGGGGTGGTTGTGCAGGAGACGAAGCCCTCACAGGATTCCCCCACCTCTTGGTGAAGACTTCCACAGGGAGGGATTATGGGGAGCAGGTGCTGGTGGGGAACCATATCGGGGCTCCCCTCCCGCCCCCCACGTCCCCCAGGGACCTCCCACCGCCGGACATCTACAGGGAGCACAAGCGGCCGTCGGGGCGGGGGGACCGGCTGCAAAACAACCCCCTGCTCCAGGGGGACGGGGGACACGGGGGCTCGGGAACACTGCCCCGGCTGCTGTCGGCAGCGGAGAAGAAGCGGGATGCGGGCAGCCTGCCTCCATCCTGCTCTCGCGGAGCCTTCCCGAAAGTCACCAGGACTTGCAGAGCCAGGGGCGAGCCGGCGCGGCTGGAGGCGGAGCGGGAGAAGCTGAGCCGGTGGGCGAGCTCGGCCAGGGCTCCCGGGGAGCGGGGCGAGAAGCGGCGTCCCGGGGGGCTGCGGCGCTGCGGTGCCACTCGCCCGCCCGCCCGCGCCGACGTGCCCGACCTGTTCCCCGAGGCCGAGCCCGGCTACGGCTGCGGCCCCCGTTGCCCGCAGGCCGCCGGCCGGCTGGCACCGCGCTCGCCCGTGACCAGGCTGCCGTCCTACCGGGAGGCTTGCCGGCAGAACCCCCGCGGCACCGCCACCGCGGCCCACGCCTGCATGAACTCCTACGCCAACCTGCCCCTCTTCGTGGGGCACCTCTCGCAGGGGTCCCCGCCGCCCCGGGAGCACCCCGGGCTGCACCCCTGCGGCCGGGGGGCCGGGCGCTGGGACGGCGGCTGCAGAGACTGCGGGAGGCGCGGGGAGCTGGCCTTGCTGCGGGCGGTGGGCGCGGAGAGGAGGGACCTGCTGGTGGCCCGCGGGGTGGCGAGTCCCTGCGCCGGCGGGTCCTGGCGGCGGGTCTCCAGCCTGGAGTCGGAGGTGTGATGGGGGGGACAAGGGGGTGCCCGCACTCCTCTGCCTGCCCTTTGCCCGGGCGTCCCCGCGGGCCAGCCAGCGGCTCCCGCCCGGGATCCAGCCTCCCGGGGTCCGGCAGCGTCGGCAGTGGGATGCTCCAGGCGGCTCGGCGGGTCCCGTGCGCTTTGGGAGGGTCGGAGGAGCCTGGCAGGGGCTGGTACACGCTGGCTCGGGCTCTCCCCACAGGCAGGGCTGGCATCGGGGACGCCAAACTCATTGCCGCCTGTGTTGCCGTCACGTTTCGTTTCATTCAAAGGGACTCGAAACGCCATGTTCAGGTCATTAAAGAGACATTTTCAGCTGGCTGGGGACCCTTCTTCCATCCTCTGGTGCTGAGCCCGGGGCTACCCTTTGTATCGTGGGGATATTCATGGTCCTGTGCACCCTCTCTCCTTCCCTGTCCCGTTAGTGCTGAGACCCGGCACGGGCTCATCGCGCCGCCGGCAGAAAGACAAATGGAAATGGCAACTCATTAAACTGTCCTGAGGGATAATTAGGAGCCGCCAGACTGCGCTGAGGCTGGAGCCGAGTTCCTGCCCCCTGCTCGGGTTTTGGGGTGCTGGGCGCTGATTGCCATGGGTTCGGGTCAGTGAATGATGCGGCAAACGGCAGCCTGGTAGGGATCCCCGGCTCGGCACCGCAGCCCCGGGAAGGCGTGCTGTGGGGAATGAGAAAGGGAAAAATTCCTTCCACCTTCCGAGGGCTGATGGAGCCATAAATCAGGTGTGATAGATGAGCCGAGTTTAATTCTTCTCTTGATGTACGTCTGACAAAGCCCTTTCCCTGCTGGGCTGGGGCGCGATAAGAGGCGGCCGTGACTCAAAGGCAGCCCCGGGCAGGGCAGGGGGTCTTCGGGAAGTGGGAACTGAAGCCTCTGGGGCCCCGGGCAGCAGCCAGGGCTTTGCCAGGCGGTACCAGCCCCATCCCAGAGCAGCGCCAGCACTACACAAAGCTGCCCGTGGCAGGCTGTCCCAGGGAGATGCCAACCCTCAGCCCCTCTTCCCAGCTGGTTTGGCATCGCCTGCCTCCATGAACGACTCCCCAAGAAGCTGCTCTAAAGCGACATAATTTTTTTTTTTTTCATGTTTCAAAGCAGCTGTTGGAGTTTCTGGCAGCCAGCGAGCAGCCAAGGCTGGTACACAAACACTGGGATGATGGCAAGGACTGCTCGGGGACAACCAGCCCTACCCCAGGGACGGCTGCAAAGCCCCGGGGAGGTCAGGAGGGACCTGCCCACGTGTATTTCAGGCTCGAAAGCATTGGCAATGTCTGTCTGTCCATCCATCTGTCCATCAATCCATCCACCCATCTGCCTGGGGTTAAATCCAGCCAGTCCCCCATCCCCCCAGCCTGGCTGCCATCACACACTGGTGCCAGTGCTTTAATTCCCTTTACTTATTTATCATCGCAATTGTCTCTTAATTGCTTTGGCAGCCCCTCCAAGCCTCCTGGCGAGGGAGGGAGGTGCTGGTGTATAAATAAAGGCCATAAATAAATAAAGCCAGTTGACAAGGAGGGGATCCAGCAAGGCTGCCCCTGGAGATGGCACCCATTTGCCCCAGGCAGCTCTCCCCATATGTACCCCAGATGACCCTGCGGGTGACAGGCTGGTCCCCAGGAGACTCCAATGTGGCCTTGGGAACTTCCCCCAAAATTGTGGCTTTCTGGCCCAAGGAAACCAGCACACACAGCTGCAGCCAAACTTGAGCTGGGGTTGGGGTTGTGAGAGCAAGAGGGAGCAGAAAAGGGAAAATCAAAAAGGAAATATCAAAAATCCCCAACCCACATCTTAAATTAATTAATGATGTCCCTGGTGACTCAGCAGAGGCCAAATGAATCTGCTTCATGTTTTATTGAAGGACTTTGCTGCAGAAGGCTGAGGACAGTGAGAGACAGGGCAAACGGGGTGCTGGGGGTGCTCCCAGGGGAGGTGACCCTGGGGTTGGGTGTCAGCACCCAGTGTGGGGCCAAAGCTGTCCTGGGTGCCCCATGTGAATGCCCGGCTCCCCTGCCACCATGGTGGCACTTGCATAATCATCTTTACATGCTAATTGGGATGGAAAAGCACAGGTTTTCTCTCATTCCTGATGCCAGGCACTAACCTGGGCACTGCTGAAGAGGAGGTGTGAGTGGCCCAGAGCAGATGGGACCCTCCAGGACCAAGGAGGGGCTGGACTGCTCCTGCAGCATCCCCTTGCCTCTGGGTGCACCAGGGACAAACCTGCAGGGAAGCAGCAGCCTGGAAGCACCCTCTGGCTGGGCTTTCCAAAGAGGGGTTGGGTAGTTTAGTGCTTAACAGCCGCTGAGAGATGTTATTTCTTTTTGGTGAAATTGTCTAATCAATCACTTTTTAATTCAGCCGGCTCTGGCACCCGGGACGCCCCGGGACACTGTGGGCTGCCTTGCAGAGAGAAATATGGCTGGATCACTGCTGGCCACCCACCTCAGGGGCTCAGCCCTGCTGGGGGGAGACAGTGTCCCCCAAACCCAACCCCCACCTCTGCCAGCTCTGAATCCCCATGACAGGTATTATTTTCACTGCCCCCACTGCTCTGCATGGCGAGACCCATCCTGCTGAGGAGAGGGTGAACAAGGCAGGCCAGCACGGGTCAGCCACCAGGAAGAGGTTCCAATGGCAAGGACATGCTGGTGCTGCTATGGGGAGACAGTCAGGGCAGGTGGAACTGGTCAAATCACAAACCAGAACAGATTCAAGGCCAGGAAGGTGCAGGTGCCAGCACAGGGACAGCAGGGCACTGCCTCGTCTGTGTTCAGGGATGCCCGAGGGAGCAGCCACCTCCTGGTTCCTGACTCCTGCCAGGGCAAAGCCATGGCATGAAATCTTCCCTGGCTGAGCACCTGCAGCAGGTGCCCTTCCCCAAACCATCAATAGCCCCTGGGATCAGGGCCTGCTGCCCAAATCCATCCAAGGGATAACATGGTGAGCACTTCGTCCCCAATCCTTCAAACAGCTGAATCCCCTCAGGGACATGCAGCTCCTCGGTGATGGTCAAGCCTTGCCTAAACCTTGTCTAAACTTGCCTGTCAAGTTTTTCTTTCCCTGGCCATCGCTCTTCCAAGTGCTGCAATAGATTGAATCCATCCTCGATGCCAGTTTGGCCTCAGATTTACGGCCCAAGCCCCAAAATCCGCCGCCGCTTGTGAGGTCCTTCGAGAGAATCACAGCAGAAAGTGTTTATTTCCATCATAAAGATCTGCTTTAATATTTTAACATAAATCAAGCTGCGCTTTATGGTGATAATAAATTCGTTGGCAGAAACTGCCTTTGCAGCCGGAGGCGGCGGAGCAATTCAATTTGTTTGGTTTTAAGTGTAAGGAGCCGTAATTGAGAAGGGGAAAGTACAGATGTTTTAATTGAGTTTGCAGCTACCACCCAGAGTTGCAGGAGGCTAATAGAGAAGAAGAGGTGAGGGTCTCCATTAGCCTCTCGGCTTGCCATTTCTCCTTGGCCTGCAGCCCCATCCGTCACGGCCATCCCCGCCAGGAATAGCTGCTCCGTGCCTGCACACGAGGAGGAAGGGGATGGAAAAAAAAGTCAGACTAAACCAGATGTATAATGTGCGTTTTATTGGTTTTAATCCCTTTTTTTTTTTTTTTTTGAAAACTAATTACAGTCAGGACAAGCATCACGTGTGAATCTGCAATAATGAATTGTTAGTGCTGATAATGGCCAAATAAAAATAGACTCAATTCGTGATGGGTGAGAGGAGAGAGCTCATGCCCTGCACCCAGGGGTCACACAGCATCCCTCCAGCCAATGCTGCCTGCACTGAGCCATCCCCTTCCCACTTTCTCCAGTAATTTTTAAGGCATTGCTATGTCATGTTTTAAATGAAAAATGTTCTCTGCCGGAGAGCTTCTTTCCGTTAACCACCCCAATTCCTCGGATATATTTGTTTTGCTGCTGTGCAAGGACGACGGGTGTCTGGGAATTCGTGGTTATTTATTTGAGAAGCACTCATGCTCCTTTGGGGAGCAGAGTCCTTCCCAGTAAGGTACCATGGCAAAGGCTGGGGCCAGGGTGTGAGCCCTCAGTGTGTCACTGCATCCAAAACCTGGATCCAAGCAGCTCCTGGAGGTACAGCCCCTCAGAAGTCACTGTCACACACTGTGTCGAGGGGGACATATGGGCCAGGGAAGAGAAGGCACATCTGTAAATGCAAGAGGTGGCAGGAAAGGGGACACGGTGCCAGGCTGGGCTCTCTGCCTCACCTATCCCAGGCAGGGCCAGTGGGGCAGTCCTGAGAGAGGAAGGGAGGGAGGGTGAGGAGATGAAATAACAGAGAACAGCCCTGTTCTCTGGCTGCAATGAAATGTGAAGGCAAGAGGCTGAAATGGGCATGGGGAGGGCTGGGGCTGAGCCTTGCAAAGCACAGGCAGCCCAGGGCAGAGAGAGCTCTCAGTCCCTTCCACGAACCCACACCTGCACACTCGTGCAGAGGAACAGCCCCCTCAGCCTCTCCAGCTTCCAAAGGCTCATTTCATCAGCATTAAATTCCTCCCTCCAGCTCTGCCCAGCTCCCAGCTGCCTCGCAGGTGGCTCCCAGCTCAGCTGCCCCATGAATCTGCCCTCCAACCTACCGCTTCCTAAATGAGACACCAGCACCAGCTACCTGTAAAATACCTTCTTAATTTGGTACTGAAGATGCCACATCAGCTTCCCAGGAACACTTGGGGATGTTTAAACTCACTAGCAAGGGCTGCCAAAGCCTGTTTAGGATCAAGCTGCAGAGAAGACAAACAGTCCCCCCGGATCCTCTCCAGGCAGCTCCACAAGGACACAGTGGCAGTGCTCAGGCTCAAGAGGTGCAGGGTTTTGCTTTAAAAGCCATGAAGTGGTTTTATACAGCTCCAGGTACTTGCATATTCCCCCAGGAGGAGCACTTCAGGTCATATGGAAACCAGAAAGTCCTACTTGAAAACAGAGCTTGATTAAAAAGAGCTGCAGTTCAAAGCTTGCTTTAGTGAGTGGTGACATTTAATACTGCAGCAAGTGCAGAGGGCAGGAGGATCTGACATGCACCTGGCTTTGAACCTGCTTAGATAACAGGGGGTTAAAACAGTTCAGGTGAAGACTTTTAAAGTTCTTCCTTTTGCCAGGAAACCCCATTTGATCTGTGCCCAAGGGCCTCAGAGCACAGGACTTGGTGCTGTTTGTCACCCTGTGGCGTTACAGTGACCACAATTGCCTTAAAAGCAGAGATTCACCTAGAGCTGCCTAAGGTAAGATCAGCCCAGTTCTCAGAGAAGCAGAGCTGGAGCAGCCCAAAGCCCACCTTAACCCTGTGCAGGGGGACAAGAGGGGGGATTCAAGCCCAGTTCCAACAGGGTTTCAGGTTTTGCTGCCCCGTTTTGGGAGCTCTGCTGCTGCAGGCAGGACTGAGCCAGGACACGGCCGCTTCCTCCTGGCACCAGCTCATTCCCCTGAGTTAACACCCACCTTGTTTCAAGGCTAATTACCCAGCGCGGGGAGCTGGGAACGCATCACTGTGCACAGCCGGAGCTCCGCGGGCCTCTCGCGTGTCAGGACTGGGTAATTAGCACCTCCCCAGCCCATCCCCGATCCCGACCGCTGGAGTCAGGGCCTGGCTGCTTGTACCAGCCCCCTGCAAAGGGGAGAAAGGGGCACGGGCTCTGCCAGCAGAAACCTCAGAGCCATGTGCTGTTGCCGAGAGAAGCAAGGCTGATTTCCTTTCCATGGGGAAGAGCTGGATCCCTGCGTGCAGAGGAGTATTGCTCTGACCAACTAAGAGCACAGGAGAACAGGATGGAAGTGTTAATGTAAACTCCCGGGCTGGAGAAATCAAGCTCTAAGCTAAAGATCCCAGATCCCAGGCAATCCATGGTGCACAAATTAATGACTCTAGAAAATGAAAATGTAACCGCAAAAAACTTCCTGTCTTCTGAATTAGGTCTATTCCCACCCTAATTTCTGCCTTCAGCTGGCACAGGAGGTTGGTTTGAAGGAGTCTCAGCAGAGAGGAGACTCAGTTCTCCCAAACTCCTGCTGGATTCTGCACAGCACATCCCTGCCTCTGGGAGAAGGGACATTCAGCCGCTCAGTGTAGTGAGCAGCCAAGGCTGTCTGCTCTCCTGTGTGCCGAGACCTGCAGCACTCAGAGAGCCACTGAGGGACACAGAACGTGCTGCTCCGATGGAGCCAAAGGCAGAAACGGCTGGACACTGGTTAACAGTGCAGGCTGCCAAGGGCTCAGCCCCAGGGCTTTGTCTGAGAACCACGACTGTGACAAGGCTGAATCCACTCCATCCACACCCAAAATGGAGCGAAGAAAGTCTGTGTCCAGGTCTGACCTGTGTCACCAAGCCAGTGGCTTGGAAACTTCCCTTCACACTGCCTCTCCCCCACTGCACAGTCCCAGAGGGGGAGCTGAAATGCTGGAGTCTCTGGAGCCCTGGAGGGAATGTGCTGCTATCCCCCATCAGAGCTTTGACTCGCTCAGGACAATGTTTGCAGTCACGAACACAAAGCAAGAAAAGCCCCAAACGAGCACAAACACAATCCAGAAGGTGTGCCTAAAGGGGGAGAGGTGCTTGTTCACCGTCCCGCTGCCGAAGACCAGCTGAGTGTCCTTCCGACTGCAGTATGCGAGGAAAGCCGGGATGAGATACTGGATCCCATTCCCAGCGTAGGCTCCCGTGATCCCCACCAGGGACTCCAGATCGTGGGTGCAGAAAGCCACCAGCACTGGGGGAATCAGCGTGATGGCGGGAAAGACAATCCTATCCACCACCCACGGGTAGGTCCCCCCTTCTCTGTGGAAAAGGGTCTTCCAGTTGTTGCGCAGGGTCACTGCGATGATGGGGAAGTTGGTGCTGATGGTGAAGACGGGGAAGAGGCCCAGGAAGTACCGAATGAAGGCAACGTTGATGATCTCACAGTTGGTGAAGTTGAGCGTGTACATGTCCATGAGGGTGTCGTTGCGGAAGCAGTAAATGGCAGTGAAGGACAGGAGGCTGTAGAAAGCCAGGATCAGGATGTAGTCGAGCAGCACGAGCTTGTTGACATGCTTCTTCTTGGAGATGGGTGTGATGAGGGATGGCAGGGAGTGCTGGCACATGAAGGAGTAGACGCACACCCCAAAGAGATTGCGGATGCCCGACAGCTGGGCCATGGACGGGTGACCTTCAGCTTGGCCTCTGCTGATGCGGATGAGGGCCAGAATTATCATGAGGATGAAAGCTGGAGAGAGAGAAGGTTTCAGGTCAAGCCCAGGCCCGCACTCCCCAGGACCCTCCTCCCATCACACCGTCAGTCTTGGCACCAGCTCTCTCTCCTGCTATGCAAGAGCATCTCCTTATCTCTTTGATGTACCACCTTATCTGAGGGTGGTGCATCAAAGGTAAGATGCACAGGAATTAACTGTG